TCTTTCATTTGGAAGCTCTGTGTGTGTGTGTGTGTGTGTGTGTGTGTGTGTGTGTGTGTGTCTAATGCTCCTGCTTCCTACTTTCCCCATAATAATCTTGTGAGGTGGGTGAGAGAGAGAGGGAGAGAGGGAGGGAGACTGATCGAAAGTCACCAGGTGGTTTTTATGCCAAAGGGAGGCTAGAACTCACAGACTCCTGGTTTTTTGCCAGCACATTAACCCTCACATCCAACAGGCATTTACATACTTACTTAATATAGTTTTTAAAATACTTTCAAATATTTATTTACATTAGGTAACCTTTAAGAGAAGGGAACATTTCAATAGGTAACAGTTAAACAAATATCAACCTATTTATGGTAGTTTAATTTTTAGATTGGCACTTTCCCCCCAAAAAAACATACTGTATGTTTTACTAAACTACTGTATTAGACATAATTGTGCCAAAGTATTGGAATCTTCATGTTTCTTCTTGCAAGGAGGTATGTGTTGCTCTTTAATAACTAATCTCTAAAATATTTTATTCTGTATGCTTCCTTGATTCAGTTTGATTGTGTGCTGTAACAATTTGTTCTATTGTGCCATTGAAATCAACAAAGAGCAAGAGAAACTCAAACCTGAACAAAGTTTGAAGGAATAAAGGAAAAAGTGAAATTGTGGCATACATATGCTTTTTTATCCAAAATATGCTCATATAGTTTCAACAAAGGAGTACATTGTTAGGTTGCTGCTGTATTAGCTGAAAATTATTCCTAAAGACTTTCAAACATAGCACAGCATAATAGAGTACCCAATATTTCTGTGAGAGAATTTGAAGACCAGAGCCTTGCTGATACAGTGGTCTAAGCACCCTGTTATTAACACAGCTGCCTGCAATTTACTGCTGGTTTGAATCTCTCCAAGGCTCAAGGTTGACTCAGCCTTCCATCCTTTCTAAGGTAGGTGAAATGAGGACCCAGTTTGTGGGGGCAATAAGCTGACTTTGTATAAATATACAAAAGTATGAAGGCTATTGCTTAACGCATTGTAAGCCGCCCTGAGTCTCCGGAGAAGGGCGGCATATAAATCAAATTAAAAAAAAAAAAAAAAGACTTGGTATCGGGAATGGGAAGTATGAGCAAACTCTTAGGGGGAATTTTCATAAAAGATTACAAAGTCCTGAGAAAGTGGAAAGCATGAGAAAGAAATTCAAAACAAGCCTACTTTTGATTTTGTTTACTCTAAGAAACAACATAAAGAACAAGCTTTGGTGTTTTGTTATTCTGTTTTACTTCAAACTGTAAAGAACATTCTGGAACCCCTTCCATGCCTGTTTTTTCACACTTAAAGGAGTGGTGAAGAGGGAAAAGAATAAACATTGCTGTAGAACCCTACAAGGATGGATCTGTTACAGTACAGATTTAGTACTTTGAGGTTAATACCATTTGGTCAAGTGTGTAAAATACATTATAAATAGCATTCAGTGATAATTGTGAGCTGTAAATAAAGTAAATGGTAGGACATTGTAGGACTTGTAGCACTCTACATTTAAGGAATGGTATATAAAACAAAGGGGAAAATGCTATTTATAATTGGGATAATTGAAATTGAAAATGAACTACTCTTACACTACTAAGTATATGAATTAATGTGCATGTGGACTTGATATCAAACCATACGAGACCCATTCTGTTCTTATATTCTCTGAGATCAATGAACAGTTATATTTTAATTTCCAGGCCCCTGTTGAGCTAGACAAAATCGAAGTGGTTAATTAGAATTATTGGACTCTGTGAATACAAAAACCATGTCCTTGAGGACATGGCCATATAGACACAAATGTTTTACATAACATCTTATAAATCAGAGTATGGCATCAACATAGCATTGGATCTAGTCATAAACATACTTAGTGTAGCTGCTTTCATATTAATTGAACAAAATTTTCATGATTAATTTGAGGCACATAAATTATGCATAGATCAAAACAATAATGCACAGATAGTTTTTGCAATTACTCCTCAAACATTTCTGAACAGAAGTATTTTTACTGTAATAGGCACTATATTTTTCAATCAAGCTCTTAATGTACAAATAAATTGCAAATATTTTGAATGAGTTACCCAACACTCTAGAGTAGAAATGAGAGTTGGTGGGGTAATTGTTCTATCAGTCAATCAGATGTACCAAGTAGAGTTCATTCATTGCAAGAGCTCAGTCATTGCACAATCATTCTATTGGGGATCATTATAGCTATATGGTTACAGATTGCAAGAAACATCACCCATTGACTTAATTGAAAGGATATTTTCAAGCTTTTTTCTTGCCTAAATATTTTTATATTTTATGTATAATAAATTCTGCTTCTAGTATAATAATAAATTCTGCTTTGTAGTGGTGAACATTCAGGATAGGTAGATTTCTTGTATCCTGCAGAAAATGTAGACAAGCCATTCTAGGAGTTCAAATAAAGTTTGGACAGTTGCAACTAGTGAAGTACTACAGTAGCAGCTGTCTCTTATATGATGTAGCACTGTATCAGTTATTTTCTCTCACAAAGAACATAAGCAGAAAGTGGCTACACCATGCCACATATGTCAGAAAGATATATATCAACTCTCCTGGATATCTAGCCGGTAAAATTATGGAGGAAAGTACCTATGACCTATGGGGCCAACCATCATCTCTACTGGAAATCATCATCTTCAGAATAATTTTGAGTTGAGATCAGATTCCTTTGGGGGAGATGTAAAAGCAGAAAATAGGATTGAAAGGGCCTGGTGGCTCAGCAGACTAAAAGCATTATGATTAACACCAGCTGTCTGCAATTACTGTAAGTTCGAATCTCACCAGGCTCAAGGTTGACTCAGCTTTCCATCCTTTCTAAGGTAGGTAAAATGAGGATCCAGTTTGTGGGGGCAATAAGCTGACTTTGTATAAATATACAAACAGTATGAAGGCTATGCTTAACGCATTGTAAGCCGCCCTGAGTCTCCGGAGAAGGGTGGCATATACAGTCAGGTCCAGAAATATTGGGACATCGACACAATTCTAACATCTTTGGCTCTATACACCACCACAATGGAGTTGGAATTAAACAAACACAATGTGCGTTAACTGCAGACTGTCAGCTTTAATTTGAGGGTAAGTACATCCAACTCAGGTGAACGGTGTAGGACTTACAGCAGTTTGTATATGTGCCTTCCACTTGTTAAGGGACCAAAAGTAATGGGACAATTGGCTTCTCAGCTGTTCCATGGCCAGGTGTGTGATATTCCCTCATTACCCCAATTACAATGTGCAGATAAAAGGCCCAGAGTTCATTTCAAGTGTGCTATTTGCATTTGGAATCTGTTGCTGTCAACTCTCAAGATGAGATCCAAAGAGCTGTCACTATCAGTGAAGCAAGCCATCATTAGGCTGAAGAAACAAAACAAACCCATCAGAGAGATAGCAAGAACATTAGGCATGGCCAGAACAACTGTTGGAAACATTCTCAAAAAGAAGGAATGCACCGGTGAGCTCAGCAACACCAAAAGACCTGGGAGACCACGGAAAACAAGTGTGGTGGATGACCGAAGAATTCTTTCCCTGGTGAAGAAAACACCCTTCACAACAGTTGGCCAGATCAAGAACACTCTCCAGGAGGTAGGTGTATGTGTGTCGAAGTCAACAATCAAGAGAAGACTTCACCAGAGTGAATACAGAGGGTTCACCACAAGATGTAAACCATTGGTGAGCCTCAAAAACAGGAAGGCCAGATTAGAGTTTGCCAAACAACATCTAACAAAGCCTTCACAGTTCTGGAACAAGATCCTATGGACAGATGAGACCAAGATCAGAAAGGAATTGCTCATGATCCTAAGCATACCACCTCATCAGTGAAGCATGGTGGTGGTAGTGTCATGGCGTGGGCATGTATGGCTGCCAATGGAACTGGTTCTCTTGTATTTATTGAATTGACTGCTGACAAAAGTAGCAGGATGAATTCTGAAGTGTTTCGGGCAATATTATCTGCTCACATTCAGCCAAATGCTGCAGAACTCATTGGACGGCGCTTCACAGTGCAGATGGACAGTGACCCAAAGCATACTGCAAAAGGAACCAAAGAGTTTTTGAAGGGACAGAAGTGGGATATTATGCAATGGCCAAGTCAATCACCTGACCTGAATCCCATTGAGCATGCATTTCACTTGCTGAAGACAAAACTGAAGGGAAAATGCCCCAAGAACAAGCAGGAACTGAAGACAGTTGCAGTAGAGGCCTGGCAGAGCATCACCAGGGATGAAACCCAGCGTCTGGTGATGTCTATGCATTCCAGACTTCAGGCTGTGATTGACTGCAAAGGATTTGCAACCAAGTATTAAGAAGGGAAAGTTTGATTTATTATTATTATTCTGTCCCATTACTTTTGGTCCCTTAACAAGTGGGAGGCACATATGCAAACTGCTGTAAGTCCTACACCGTTCACCTGAGTTGGATGTACATACCCTCAAATTAAAGCTGACAGTCTGCAGTAAACGCACATTGTGTTTGTTTCATTCCAACTCCATTGTGGTGGTGTATAGAGCCAAAGATGTTAGAATTGTGTCAATGTCCCAATATTTCTGGACCTGACTGTATATCAAATTAAAAAAAAACAGAAAACATTCTTGCCCTACTTACACAGTAAGTCACATATCCATCTCAATGCAGTGTAGCAATTTATTACCGATAGACTTATTCTGAAGCTCATACAAAATGATGCATTTTCCTACGTCTGGTTATCCTCACTCCTATTCGTTCGACTGAGTGCCAATCATTTCCCTCTGAAGCTGGTCACGCTCACCTCCTCGCTATCCTAGCCGTCTTTTTCACTCAGTCAATCGTGACAGACTTGAGTGCCAATAGCTATGGTGTTTTTTAGGCTTTTTGCTTTTAAATTGGTGCTTTTTTTGGGCTTTTCGCTTTAAAATTGCTGTTCTTTGGATTGTGAAGGCTGCGCAACATGGGATTTCCCTCAGAGTCATTCCGGTGAGGGAGGCGGCGCTGCCGGCCTTGGACTTGTAACTTCTTGCTGGCTTCCCCACTGTCTTTCTTCCTGCAAACTTCTCACAAGCTAACCAGAAGGGGAAACTAGCAGGAGATCTAGGGAGGAAGGGAGCAAAGAAAGAAAGATTTCCAACACTTACTGACATTTTCCCACAAGAAAGTCAATGGAAGCTGGCAGGGAGTCTCAAGTGATTCCTGCTCCTACTACTTGTTTGCTTATTTGTTTGTTTATTTATTTAGCTAGCCTGCTATAGTCATTCTGTGTTTTTGGTTTAAGTAAGAAAATATCTCTGAAATGATATCTTAACATGCGGGTGTCAAACTCGCCATGTCATGTCATCATGTGATGTATCACAACGTTTTTTCTCTTTGCAGAGCTGGGGTGGGCGTGGCCTTGATGTGGCACATCCGGCCCATGTGCCGCCGGTTTGACACAATTGCTTTAACAGGTCATATGTAGCTTAACTTATTATTTGCTTTTAATCCTTGAAATTTATATTAAATATCACAGAACACAGCTGCAGCTTTAAGGTGGCTTTTTACTTTTCAAGGACCATAGGTGAAATGTATCTGCTGAATAATTTGATTTCTGTGTTATTAAAAAAATGTGAAAGAGGAAAAGAACTGGAGAATGTGGCAGATGAAGTTCTTATATCAACTGTGAAGCCCTTTCCTTTTTCTCGACTTAATATAGCACATTAAACTTGAATTAAAACTTGTAATGCTGATTGATTTTATTAGTCTTATAAATGGAGGGGGGAAAAGAGGGAGGCATATCATTTTAACTTTCACTTGACTTTGACTTAAAGCTTTTTAAATGGCAGAATTGCCTCATATCTTATCAGAAAGACAGGTTTGCCCAATGCAGATTAATTAAGCAATGGTCAAGAATTATACTGAAAGTTTTTTTTTAATTTCTCTTTTTCTGGACCTAACTACTCAAGTAGTTATAACAAGAAATATAATTATTTGATTATTATATGATTCATAAATGTTTTTATGACTTACATAGGTTTTATTTTTCTGATTTTAGCCATACTCTGAAGTTGATCTGAAGTGATAAATATGGAAATACAGATAATAGGAAATAAATGTACTGTGGAAGAAATAATATTCTGAAATAATAAAATACCTACTTTTCATGAAAATTTTAATTCACTCTTTATTGCAAAGCTTCATTACACAGGATACATATGCCTATTTCATCAGGTAAATAAAATTATTTTAAGCAAGTCTGATTCTTTGGAAGAATATTTTGATGCAATGTCAGGTAAATCTGCTTCTATTTCATAAAGCAGAACTTTGTTGCATTCAAACCTAGTCAGATGTAAGAATTTATTCCAAAACACTTGATCGACCATTCTGTATAGTGTATCTATATACTGCTTATACTTTCTATTTGGATAAGGTATGGGTATGTTGGCTTGCAAGATAATCTCTAAATAGCAATCTTATGTTGCATAAAATGGCACAAACGTCCTTTGGCTAAAACTCAGCATTTACTGTAATTATGGCCCACTTATTACAGTGTGCCCAAATCGACCAGTACTTACTTTATGAACTAGGAATGCTACATGAGGCACAGGTATGATTAAGGCTACTGACCTAGTCTATCATTTTTTTTATCTTACTGAACCTGAATATGAAAGCATTAATTAATTAATTTAATTAATTAATTATCAAATGGATGGAGGCAAGAAAAATAACTACGCTGTGCCTGAAAACTAAGAGAAAGAGGAACAGATGTAGTCTAGTCGTTTAGAATGAAATTTACCTCTTTCATTTCTCTACCATACATTTATGTTACCTAGGTGAACAAACTTTTTCAGTACACATATTCATTTATAATGTTGCTTAACTCTCCCTCAAACACACCTTTGCTTCTTCTGTTATCTCACTTTACTGAGGTTAACATGTGACTAGCAATAACATTATTTATTTGACATCAAACTTTCATGGATGCCCGCAACAAGCTAGATAGCACCAATTCATATGACATATATAACATGACTTGACATAGAAAATAGGTTTTAGTCCTTCAATTGATAATTAAAACTACACCCTCACTTACTTGTATTCATCATTCACTGAAGAATGAATGGAAATGTTAAGTATTTGGTGAATTACAGAAAAAGGTGGTTTTGCTTTTAATATTTGCTTTGAGTTTATTTATAATTCTGTTACCGTATTTTCTGGTGTATAAGACGACTTTTTAACACATGAAAATCTTCTCAAAAGTCGGGGGTCGTCTTATACGCCGGGTGTCGTTCTCCTGTAACCAGGCAGACCAGCCTGAAAGGCTCTAACGAGCCTTAAATGGCTCTGACGAGCCAAGCTCTGACCATCCCAGCTGAGTTGCCTGCTAATCAGGCAATTCAGTTGGGATCTCCAGAGCCATTTAAAAGGAAAAAAAACTTTTTTTCTTTTACATGGCTCTGGCGATCCAAGCTCTGACGATCCTAGCTGAGTTGCCTGCTAATCAGGCAACTCAGCTTGGATCGCCAGAGCCATGTAAAAAGAAAAAAGTTTTCCCCTTCCAGCTTGCTTACCTTAGCTGCTAGTCGCAACGCTTGCCTTGCTTTGCTTGCCTGAATCCATTCCATCAGCAAGCAACTCCCTGCCTGCAATCAAGCAGGCAGGGAGTTGTGGACTTCAACTCCCAGAATTCCTCAGCCAGCAAAGCAAAGGTGGCTGAGGAATTCTGGGAGTTGAAGTCTACAAGTCTTAAAGTTGCCAAGGTTGGAGACCCCTGTTCTATTGGGTAAGTTTTTTTCCCCTTTGGGAGCTTTAAGGAAAATAGTTAATTGGGTTTTTTTTAGTTCTTTTTTAGACTAGCCATTTAAAGTTTACGAAGTTTTAAATTTAGCTTTCATATAAAAATAAAATAAAATAAAATACTATTTGTGCAACTTTCTGAGATTTAGTGTGTTTCTGTAGTGTTTCACTCTAACTACACAAACACACAAAATCTCACAAAGCTGTATGTGGAATTTTGTGTGTGTAAAGTGTGAAAGTTGGGTTTTTGGGCTTTTTGTGGCTGTGTGAGGTTCCTGCTTGTTGCAGGGGCCATTTTGGGTCTAGCACAGGTGCTTTTACATTGTGGGTGAGCCAGTTGATGTTTTTTAATTTTTATTTGGTGTGCGTTGGAGGGGTAGTCTTATACGGTGAGTATAGCCCAAACCCTATATTTTAACAGGAAAAGTCGGGGGTTGTCTTATAAGCCCAGTCGTCTTATACGCCGGAAAATATGGTATATATTAACTTGTATTCTGTTACATTAAATTCTCAAAATTATTCTAAATAAACAGAAAAATATGCACATTAGGCTGTTTTCACAAGAATAATGATTACGAGAACTTTGGATATTAGAAAAATTAGAAAAAATTTCCACACTAAATATATTGCATCTAAAATACTACAAACACATGGATTAATTTGAAGTTGAATATTCATCTTTTATTTTCTAAATTTGTGCAGACATTTAAGACAGTAGGAATGAAGCATTAAACCAGAGTACTAGGGAAACAGTTTAGAAATATATACCTGTAATGTACAGTCATCTTAAATATCCTGATTTTGCTGTAGAATTACAAGTTGGCAATAACCATATCCACTCTATTTGTTGCACTTGGTGTCTGCAAAATATTCACTGATACTGGGGAAAAACAAATCAATCGAATCCTTAGCAATTCTAAGTAGCTTGTTGAACAGTGATTCTTTAAATAGTTTGGCAGAGGATTCCTCCATTTCTTATATAGCATTAGAGATTATCTTGATTGACCCTGGCAGTACTTTTCTGTCAGCATTTTCACTAGAAACTTTCAGTAAACAACAGAGCAGGTATAAAAAAAATACTTTATTAGGAAATTACCCAAAAAAACTCTTTGATATTTTTTTCAACAGAGTAAGAAAGGATATTTTTAAAATGGTAAAATTATTTTCATATTGACTATTATGTGCCATCAAGTCATTGTTGATTCTAGACTTTCTGATAGATTTCCTGTGAAAGTTGGCACGCACTAAGTATTGGCATTATCACTGTTGCTGTTCATTCATGTCATGGATATGTCATGCTAAATCTGTATCACAATGCCCATTGTCTACACTGACAATGTCCAGCTTGGGAAGGAAAGAATTGCAGTACTGTGTCCAGACATAGAATGAGTTGACTTAGCCAATTGTTTGTGATGCAATATCAAGAAGACTAAATTTGTAGAGTCCCCTGATACTGGTAGAGTCCAAAGGATGTCTGAAGTGACATGGGGGGGGGGGCATATTTGGGTTAATAAATTTAATATGTTTGTAATTGGCTATAATGAAATTATGATCTATGGCTTTAACAATTTCATTGAATTAAGGGAAAAACTATATGTATAAAGTTAGTAATTATGTACCTTGCAAATACCCTGAGAAACTTGTAGTCTGATAGAAGCTAATTTGTTTAAAACAACACAACTTTTACAAAGCAAAACAGTTTTAAACCATGGATTAGTTGACCTGTCAAGGATCTGAGATGGTCTTCTGAACCATGTTTCCATTTCTTACAACAAGCCAACTTGTTCTCATTAATGATGGTACACACTTGTATACTGATGGACCATTATTTTTGCCTAGATTCATGACAATGACATGGTCAATCATATAATTTTAATCAAAGATGTTGTGCCTGAACATAGTGTATTCTGGAATATGTAATATTCAGAGATTCTTTATTAAATACATTTGGAAACCATAATGTTGCTTACTGTCTTTGGAATATACAGTATTTCTACTCCATAATATTTTCTTTTGATCTTGTCTCTTTTTTCCTGAACTTTGCAAGAGTTTATTGAACTAAAAATGATTAAGGATTTTTGTTGTTGTTTGACATGAAGAATAATTTTGAATTTGTATTAGCTTTACTTAAGCTCAACTGGTAATAGGTTACAATAAATGGGCAATTGCAATTACTAAATAGTGTGACTCGCAGGCAGTCAACAGAAAATAAAAACTGGATTTTTTTTTCTGTAACATTTTTGATCATGAAACATAAACATAACTTATGATAGGTATAAGGGTGGTTTTAAAGTAAATAAACAACCTAATCTCTCTCTCTCTCTGTGTGTGTCCCTCCCCCTCCCCCTCTCCCTCTCGGTTTAGTACTGTCTTATATGAATTCTTAGTGGGCCTCGCACAATCTTTTTGTTTTCTGGAAATTAAGTATACCCTAATGCCTTATCTGATCATATGCACTCAAAACATTGTGCCTTGACTAATTTTTGCTGTAGCCTTAATGTTTAAAGAACATTGCTAATTAATTTACACTTTCCATTTTCTAAACTATATTTCGCAGTACTTCCTGTTAGCTTCCAAAGAAAGCTTTGACAGGTAGGATTGTTTGAAAGGCCTTCTTCAGTCATGCTACAATAGTAATTTCTCCCTTTGGAAGCTGAAGTCAATCATTGCTTCAGGTGCTTCATGAAGGTTAAGATTACAGTTTTAGCATACATTCAGTTGAGAGGCACTTCATAGAAATATTATCATGGTGAGAAAGAAAAAAACTCTCTAATCTTTGCTTTATGCAGGTAATTATCCCTGGAATGGCATCTGCTGAGTTTGTCTTTACTAGTTTTATAGTTTGTTTGTCCTCCTCATTTTTTAATGCTATTTTCAGTCCACGTAGGAGCAATTTTCCTGCAGAAAGAAAGAAAAATCAACTATCCACTGGAGAACCAGAGTGTAACAAGAATTAGCCATCACTGCTGCCAATGCATATCTCAAAATAGACTAAGTAGCCAAAGGAAGCCTGGCTGAAATAAAAATTTAAAAGGAGAGGACAGTTGCTTGGATGAACTGTACCCATGATATATTAACGTAGATCACAAAAAACTACTTGCTATGTATTCTAATATTGGTCAAAGCAAAACAAATAAATAAATTTAGGGCTTCTTCTGTGATGTGTACCTGTTTATTAGCAATAACCTTTAAGTGTGATTTTAAATAAGGATTTGGTAGATACTAGCCATATCTTATTTAAACATCATGTCAGTCTAAGACTTACAACACTGAGCTGCAACGCATTTGAAAATGTATCCTGAATCCTATTAATAATTAACTATTGCGAAAGGCAGAACCTATCACCAAATATCAAAAATAACCTCATCTCTTTTCACATGACAGGTAACATATTTTCTTCTCTCTCCCCTTTCCCACAATGTTTTTTAGTCTTCCTCCCACAGCTGTTTTTTTTTTTAAATGCCATTTCTGATTTTTCACCTCCTTTTTTTTTGTTACTTTCATATTTATTTTCTTATCCAGCATCTGATCTCCCTACAATGCTGTTTCCTGTGCTCTCTGCTGCTGCCTAGATTCTCCTGGGAGAGAGAAACTTTTTAACCAAACATCTTTTAACCAAAAGAATATTTATCAGAGTTTCAGAAGAAAGCTAGTAGTTTGGTAATATGGGGACCTAGATCAATAGAAGTCACCTATCTAAGGGATGATTTTTTTTTTCAAGTAGAAAAAGAGGTAAGCAAGGCAATAAACCTTTGGATAACAAAGAGAAATCAGGAATGCCCAGTGGGAATAAGAGTGATAGAGACCATGCTGATATATACAGATGTTGATAAATTTGATGTTTAAATCATTCCTTCATTAATTGTTGAAGAGTGAATAGATGAGTTTCTTTTTGCACATTAATGTGAAAGGTGACTTATTTCATTTCAATTTAATTTAAACAATCTAAATTTACATAGTTAATTCTTTCCAATTTATGAACCAGAATGCAGTTGTATTTGCAATTTACAATTCCAAAACCAATTAAGGAAAAGTCTGTATAAAACATAAGGAGAAATGTATAGGAAAATATGCAAAAAGGATTACGTTAAGAAATGTTAATTTATATTGCTAGTGAATATAGCTGGTTAATGTATGATATGCCATATAATAGATAGATAGATAGATAGATAGATAGATAGATAGATAGATAGATAGATAGATAATCAGTTAATCCCTTATTTATAATTTAAATACCACTCGATAAACCATTTAGTCACACTGGATTAACTTCCTTAGTTCCCACATTCTATTCTTCTTTGATGGACAGTTTAATTAAACTATTAATTTTTTCTAGCCACACAATGATGACCAAAGCTGAAGAAAACTAGAAACTGGAAATCATTGAAATTATCAGTATCATAGGAAGATTGAAATGTTTTCTGATGAAATGTATTATGTATTTTAATTTTGGCTGTTCACCGCCCTGAGTCCTTCGAGAGAAGGGCGGTATACAAATTTAATAAACCTAAACCTAAACCTAAACCTAAACCTAAATGTTTTCTGATTTTGTTCTGTAAAATCACAATTTGTATGCTTTTTTTAATTGTGAAAACTCTCTATATTTTTTGACAAAAATAACTGATTAAATTAAGACAAATTATTTAAAAAACACCACAATCAACAATTAAATGTGTTTATATTCATTTATTTTATAATGTGAAATGTTTACTGAAGTATTTTGAATTATGTAAATTTCATTCTGATAATATGATTGTAGGAGAATCACATCTAATTTCATAACACTAGATATAATTCTTCCTGGATTTATAGGTCTGCAAAAGAAATGAAACAAAATTGCTTCTGTGCTTACTCTGATGGATTATCTGCTTGCTTCTGAACACTTTACACTTTGGGATAGTAGCCAAAGGCTATATATTCAAGTGAAATGTATTCTGCTGCAGAGTTTAGTGTTATCAGTCTGGAGATACTGAAGCTTCAAGACCTTATGGAAAGGAATTATTGCACTAAATTAGCTTTCCACTTACCTATTAGTTATATAGCAGATGATCATGATAGAAAAGTTCTTGTACCTAAAAGTTATCTTTAACTCTGCAAGTTCAGCTCTTTCACATGGTAAGATTCTTTGCATTGATATGGCAAAGCTATTTCACCTTGATCTACAGCAAAAATATCTTTTATTTTGCCAAAGGGGGCACAAGATCTTTGATTAAAGAAATTCCTCACTTTCAGACCTTTCCTGGGTTCCTCAGTGGAAAATCTCTTCCCCCAAATCCAAATATTTCAAAATATTTATGTTATACATTTTAACTGAACTACCAGTTCCATGGGGTGTTTCATATTGTTATGCACCATGTTTTAGGATGATGTCTTGGATCAGAGTTTTGTTTACTACAATGGCTTTCATATATGGGAGAATAAAACAGGTATGCCAGATGTTTAGTCTGGATTTGACATTTTTATCCACATATCAAGCACAAGGAATAGGGAGATTTGTTGTTATTATTATATAATCAAGTGGGAAATAGCTTTTTGTTATGTATTTATGCATTGGTGATGTAGAAAAAAGAGAATATATAAAGCCACTCAAAGTTATAAAAGCCAAAATGTATGTTTGGGAATTTTTCAGTTGTGGAGAGTAATTGGTCAGAAGACATAACAAGGTAATATTCTTACAAATGAAAGATGGTTCTTCCATAAATTGGAGAAAATGACAGCAGTCCAGTGAAAAGGTAGCAGGAAGTACTGTATGTGAAGTGTGCTCAAGACAAGCCTTGTTGGTCATTATGAAAATGTATTGGAACTGCAGTCATTTGGAATAGTCAGTGTTGAATGAGGTTCATGCACATTGGACATCTCACCTCAATTCCTTTGG